AACTTATCAAGATGGTTCCCTAATCATTAAATTACGATGAAACAACTAGATTTGTCTAGTTGATGTCGATTTTTGGAATAGAAAATGTTAAATTGAAAGTTAGTTAAATTAATTAGTTAAAAAAACTGTTTAAATACGCACAAGCAGCCCCTACGGCCTACTATGATAATTCCAGACTTGGTTTGTTATGCAATTCGCAGTCCTTATGGTGTGCCCTACATTCCTTAAAATTTGTAAATGCTGTACTGAATTAACCTGTATGAAATGAAGGGTTTTCATTATTTGTTATCTCAGATAATGTCTGAGAAAATATAAAATGAATTGGGAAAAACTGTAAAAGGTACATTTAATCGTCCTACATTACGACATGAAGTGTCAAAATGTTAATGTCAGAGTTACTTTACGTTTAGTTTGGGAAACATGGTCAGATTTTGACTTTATGACGAAATATTCTTCCCATTTTTTACTATTAAGGAACCATGATTTTAATTCAAATCGGTATAATTTTTAATGTTAAAATTAATTGTGCTGCATATTTTTTTATTTTTAAATTGCATAGTTGGTGAGATGTCTAGATGAAAATTATAATTTTCAAATTTTGCATGTTTCTATGTGCCCAAACAAAGGAATAGCGTAGGAATAACTTTACAAGTATTAAAAAAATACAAGCCCTTTTCATTTTCACAAAACTGTGACTTTTTTTTCAACTTGACATTTTGTGACAAAACTGAGCTTAAGATTCACGAAGAACTGTTACAAACATTTAACTATAAAAACTAGAAAATTATTCTCTAACGAGCATTATTTTAGATAATGATAGAACATTCAACGAACAAGAAGAAAACAAACTTTTATAGATATCTACTATTCGTTAAGAATAAAACTAACACAGACAACGAACGATAGCTGTGTGCCCCTTTGTGTGCTTGTCGAATCTGAGACAAAACTCGAGTGATAATTTTGGAGGAGGATTTAAATTAGAATTTGTAATCGGATAATATTTGTACCAAAACTTATAACATTGAGCACCAAATGAACTTTCAGAACTTTTTATGCGCTAAATGAATCTTAACCATAGATATTTATTACTTTGTTGTGAGTTAAACTACCACAAAAAGTCAGCGAACGTGAGTTGTTTGCATCGCTCCTTCACGTTTAGTCAAATGTGTCAAATTTAAATTATAATTTTGGAGTAAAATTCACATTTACAATTTGTTCTTTGTATATTTTGTAATGAAACTTATTGCACTGTGTATCATATGAAATTTTATGGATATTTGCTTTTTTGTGAGTTAAACTAACACAAAGAGTCAGAGAACGCGAGTCATTACTCCTTCGTAATGCGAATTCGAAAATGTGGCTTATCATTGTTTTACAAAAAGGCCTATGAAAATTTTGAAGTTATAGAATAAAATTGAAGGTATTATTTCCGTCATTGAACTTGTTTATTCTTTTCTCCATCTAAACATGAGATTCAAGATGCAAAGACACTCGAATAAAAATTTTCTATTGTTTTTTGGTTTATTTCATTTTCTTTTTCAGCCAGAATTAATTTACGGCATCATTTTGTTTATTGCATTAAGTTCTTAATACTACTAGTATTTGTCTGAGGATAGTTATTTTAAACTGTTATGTAGCCACTGTTTTACTGCAGGGCCTCAATTGTGAAGAGGCCTAACACAAATTACAAATGAATTTTTTCAATAGTTTTTTCAAAATTGTTCTACCCTAATGTATTGCATTTTTTTTTTTAAAAAAAGAAGAAAAAAAGCAATTTTCTACAAGTTTAACCGATTTATAATTATGTTGTTATGCGTAAAGTTAACTTTCAAGCTATTTATATTATAATCTCAACGTCCACGCAAGCATTTTAAAATGGGAAATACATTTAATATGAGTTGTTATCATTTTATAAAATTATTAGGAGGCTTCTCCCCCTGCTCGCTGGCGCTCGCCAACCCCCGAAACTGCTCTCGCAATTCATTTCGGATTGTTTCGCAATCCAATGCTCGCTTTGCTCGCTCATTGGATACGTTCTTAGCTTCTAGCTTTTGTATACTTTTTTGAATACTGAAGTTCCGAAAACTTTTCACTGTAGAAAATTCTAAGCCTGTACATTTCAATATTAATTTGAATCTGCAAACAGTTCACATATTTTTCTTAATCACACTATTCTAAATTTCAGTTGCTGAGAAAAGTAATTGTTGTAAGTTTTGTTTTAAAGTCTTTCCCACCAGAGGGCTAAAGCCATGTGTTGTAAAATAATATGAAATAGTAGTCTGCCACTGAACGCCGGATGTAAAGCATCGGCTTTG